CTTCCCCCCACCTCCCCCTCTCCCATGTCCCCCCGGAACTGTCAGTCCCATTGTTTTCTCCTCCAGATTGTTCATCCAGCCTGTCCTATCCAGACAGACCTTCGGGTAACTTGTAATTTCATAGCAAATATCAATTGTGCTAATAAGAGATGCCACAAAGGATTAAAAGATGAATTGATAATCACATAAAACAACATGCTTGTGCTCATTAGCATTGCATGGAAGTATTACAGTTAATTCAAAATGCGGCACAGATCAGTGATAAAACTATTTTCTCTGCTGGCCTGTTAGCATGGTGGTTAAATGTTAGAGAAAGCAGTATCTTTAACTGCAAGTCATTCCTGGCCATATTCTCTCACAAAGTACCTTGTTTTCATAATTTGGATAGAGCCGGTGGATTTCCTTGAAGACTGGAGATACGAGAATGCTAGAGGCTTGGGAACCGGACTAATGCACAATGCATCCAGGAGAGAATGAGTGTTTTCAAGACTGAAGGGCCTAGCGAGCATTTAGAAAGAATTTTAAGTCTAAAAATCATATTATTAATCACCAAAAGGCATTTTTATTGTCTATAAGTTGAGGAATTTTCTTTGAATGAGTGCAATAAGTAAACAAATGAGTAAGAGAGGACAAAGCAGTAGAAAGAGGATAAAATGAAGAACTAAGAGCCCTTTATATGGTTTTACTAGTTAATATAGAATGGGTTCAACTTCACCAAAATTGATCAAAAGAATCACTTATAAAACATTTAAAGCTGTAAAAACAATGAGAAATTATATATATATATATATAAAATATATAACATTCAAACATGCATTCTGGGGTTTAGATCACATTCAAATATAATTAGATTCTGGGATAAAAAGAAAGCTAATAAAATTTTAAAGCACCTATTTACTTATAGTTGATCCTAGTCCAGATATATATACAAAGTAAAATTGTAAAACAAAACCAAACCACAAAGAACCATAAAGTCAGTAGGCACACAATGTGCACTAATTCATGCAACTAAGAAGTATCATAAATAAATGGCAGTAATGAAAAAAAGTCAAAGGATCCTTTTTGGAAAACAGTAAAAAATCTGAATTAATGGGATTTACTCACAACTAGATAAAAAACCCATTATAGAATTTAAGAGAAAGTCACTGGGTTGGTGCAAAGGGTTAAGTGCTCAATTACTACACGAAGCACTGGGAGTGTGAATGCATCAAGATAGGCCGGGTGATGTACTTCAGAAAGGTCGCAGTCTTGATACCCCATGCGCTATCCGTGGAGTTTTTGAATAGACTCAATAGCAACTATCAAAAACCACAAATAAGATTCAAAAGCCGCAAATGAAAGTAAGAGCTCACGATGCATTCTTCAGATGGTTATGCTTTCTTTGAGGTGACTTGTAAGACAGTAAAGAGAGTTGGTGTCACATTCAGACAGTGCAGAGGTAGTTCTACCTTGTTTTTGCAGCAATAACAGCAGATACAGTAGCAGCTGCGCAGCTCATAACTGCAGCACTATATCTAGCAGAAGAGAAGGTAGAAAAGTTTCCAAGACCTTCCAAAGGCCTTCTCATCACATTTCCTGTTGAAGTGCTTGAATTAATATATAAGGAAAGAAAAACAGAAGAGAGGGACAAAATGGCAAGTGAGAAATGACAGCATAATAAAGATAAGATAGCAACCATCAACCTATATTAATATCTACCCATCATAAAGGTATGAAACATCAGAAGTAATAGGAGCTGAGGTCATTATTTACTACTGCTATAGTCCTTTTTGGAAATTACAATTTGATGTATAATCCGCAAAACAAACGGAAAAAATGAAACAGATGTTTCAGATAAACACTTCTGAATGTCTCCAAATTCACTGCTTCTTATCCTACTGCACATTAAGACACTATCTTCTAACACGACTAATTGAGATTGATTTACAAATGACTCAAAGTATTTCAGAAAGAAGGGAAGTTATGCTGATTTTTTTTCAAAAGGTGTCTACAGTTTTGTTGTAGAGATGATACATACTGAGAGTCTACCTTCTTAGTGGCATGTTTTCAGAAGCATCAGGTTCAGAAGCAACTGGCTGACTCTTTAAAAGCAGCAATACATATCAACATAAACAAAAAATAAATGCTTAAAATACTGAGCGTAATAGTATTTGGGGAGGGCAAGCATCATTACAAAAACAAATAGCAGTAATAGATAATAAGAGTAAAGCCATCCCTGCTGATGTCCCATATTTCTATTTTCAGTTATCTCTGTGGCTGATTAAGAATTCCTAGGGTAAAAACTTTATCTTCATAATGCTTATTATTTAAAATAACAATTATTTTCCCTTGGTCTTTTAGCGTAGTAATGTGAAATCAAGAGAAGTGAAATTCATGCACAAGAATATTCCATCATTTCCAATTTGTGCTGGTTATCAAATTGGGATCGAGCATTTCTTAATAAGCAAAGTGGAGTCTAAATTGCATAATGCCAAACTTAAAGTCGCTGTCCCTTCACTTATGGGGATAAGTTACTAGTGAACTTCTTCCTGACACTTTCAGAAGTCTCTGACAGCAGCAATGACGTACCAAACTCGGCACAAGTAAGGACAGCTCTGTGTCTGAAACTGTGGGGGTTGATCTGAGCCTCTTTTCCCTCTCAGGAGAACCTGACAAGCTACTATTCTTAGTTTCATAGGATATAATTTTACAGTTTATTAGAAAGCAAATTAAAGAAATAGTGGGAAGCCATTTTAAAAATTATAAGAACTGTTTGATTTTAACTACAATTTTCTATAAGAATAGCCGCTAAATTGAACTGTACGACTACATTTCAACCATATGCAGTGGCGAGGGAAGAAAGAATGGGAGCTGGATTGAAAAGAGAAAGACACAACCCTGGCACTGGAGGTTAATGGGGTCTATTGTGAAATGGAAGACTATTACCAAGGGATTCAACTCATAGTTTCTGAATTACTCTACATCTTTGAGGCATGGCAACGATGTGGGGGCAGTAAGGGTTAATCATGACAACAATTATAACTTTGTTTTTGAAAAATCAATGAAAAAATGAATCAGATGAATCATCCAATAAAAAGGAAACTATAATGATTGTTTCCATCATGTTGTATCACAAATAATAGTATAAATTGAAAAAGCCAAGCGAACCTTCTAAGAGTTATTTAGTTGAATATCCTTAAAATGCACCTAAGCAGCTGGTAACAGATTATAAACTCTATTTTAGAGGTTGATGCTCTAATTCAGACAAACTATGACAAAGGTGACTTTCCAGATTGCAGCGTGAATAAATAAAAGCACATTCGACACCACAAAGTAAACAAGCAAACAGTAAATACATACAACAGCAGTGTAAAGCACTGTTCCAAGGCTGAGTGGCGAGCTTTCTTTTATTGATGTCAGTACTGTAATCTGTGATCCTCTCTTTTGTTTAGTCAGATAGTTTTAGTACTTAAGTTCACACCAGCATTATAACTGAGACAGACCAACAAGGAAAAACTCTACCTAGAATTAGTAGTTGCTATTTTTGAAAGTGTGGCTACTTGGCTACCAATATTTAAAACCTGAGGAGCAGCAGGTGGGTGAGGTCCACTCTTTGGTAGGTCGTCCAAAGAACTGTTAAACCTACATTTTCAAAAGCAAAATAAACAAGGTGAAACAGATATTACTGAAAATACAGACAGTGACCACCTATATCACCTTTTAAATATACATTGGTTCACGTTTAAGAGCATTGCTACTTGGTTTTTGTTTCTTTGTATTGCTGTTGTTTTTGCTTTGTTTTCATTTTCCATTTCTTCTGCACAAAAGGTTAAATAAAGCCAAATGAACAAACTCTCCCATGAGAAAATATAGGATGGTTTCCCCAAATCCTTTAACATGAGTACTTCCATGCAATAAATAATTATACTTAAAGAGGAAGACTGAAGAGGAATTCCCATCCACCGGACTGGACTTTATATTACATGCTCAAGGAAACTTAAGCTCAAAGTAGTGAACTGAATCGACTACTATCATAAACCTAACCAGGGTCTGTTGAGATTTGAATCTGAGTCTTTTTATACAGTATATAACACTTGCCAGTATCGTGTGAGGCAGTTGTCTGAGTGAATATGCTACACAAAAGCACCAGAAATTTCCTTTCAAGTCAGAATGAGAAGTTTAGTACATCTGAAATTATACTGATATTATTTTGATGTACACAAAATATTGTATCCAGTGCCCATATAGATGTGTATGTTAAATGTGGTGCTTTGAGTATTTTTAACTCTTTTCCCTACATTTGTTCTGTTGTTGTTTTTTTCCCCATTAGGATGCTGACATTAGGTTTTAGAAGAACCATTACCAAGTTTTTAATGTCAAAAAGTTAAGAACATATACAGAGATCACAGTTTATTGGTGGCTGCCAGGAGCGTCGGGAGGGGGAAATAGAACAACTTGTGAGGTGGCACAGAATTAAAGGTGGCACTCACTTGTGATGGGTGAGAGAAAGATTAGGAACGGATAGTGGGGAACAGGTGCATAACTTGATGAGTGTAATTAATGCCACTGAGTCATACACTTAAGAAAATGTTTCAATGGCAAGTGTTTGGTTATATTCTTCCCACATCCAGACACAAAATGGTGATAAACTCAATAGGAGATTTTTTTAAAATATGCTCAAGATCTGTAATAGCCCTCAATAAACTGATTTTTAAAATCATTTTATTGGGGGAAATAAAATGATTTATAAAAAAAGTAAAAATAATTTTTAAAAGGGGAAGGAAAAAATAAATGGAAAATATACAAAATTCCTCAGGGAGGGGTTGGAGGCGGTCTGTAAATTAAAAAATATGTATCAGTCAGTCATGTTACACTGATTGTTAAATTGAAAATGTAATACTAACATAAAGAAAGAGATAAGAGGTTTTCACACCATTTTTAAAGACAGCGTTGACCAGCCCTTTACCAGAAGGAAAATAAAGATGCAGAAAATGTAAGCAAAATGTCATGGTAAAACTAAGTAGTCATTTAAGAAGTAGAAGAGAAAATGTTACAGGAAACTCCAAGCCAAACCCCACTGCCATCGAGTCATTTTCAACACACAACAACCGTAGTTAGGATTTACAAGGCTATAAATCTTTATAAGCAAACAGTCTCATCTTTCTCCCATGGTGCGTTTGGTAAATCTGAACCTGACCTGTGGTTCCAAAGCCCTGACAGTGCCATCAAGGGCACTGCTAATGGAGTAAGAAATGTACATCCTAGAACAGAGGCCAGCAAACCATCCTGAGAGCTAAATCCAGTCCGTCACTTGACTTTGTATAGCCTGTGAGGTGAGAATGGTTTTACATTTTAAATGGTTTTTTTCCTAATGAATATAACATGTGAAATTCAAATTTTGGTGTCCATAAATAAGGTTTTATTGAAACACAGCCAGGCAAATTTATTTACAGATGGTCTATGGTTGTTTGCATGCTATAAAGCAGAGTAGTTAAAATGGACCACTTATATGACCTCTTTATATGGAACTCCAAAACCAATGGAGACAAAAAGTCCTTCATAATAGAAAGAATGATCAGTATTCAGGAAAAAGTAAAATATAGTTATAAAAAATTACAGACTATCTAGTCTGGTGGCACAGTGGTTACACATTGGGCTGCTAACCATAAGGTCATCAGTTCAAAACCACCAGCCATGACTAAGGAGAAAGGGTTTCTACTCTGGTAAAGAGTTAATAGACTCAGAAACCCACAGGGACGGTTCTACCCCAAGCTACAGGGCTGCCATGAGTTGGCGTCAATTTGATGGCAATGAGTCGGATTTTATATACTCATATTAACATTAATGAAAATGGGTATGAAAACCAAAGGGAGTGACATTTGGAGAAGTTGAGTCCTCCAAATACCTCCATGAACTATGTCACTGGAGAAATTTTAGTGTCACTTGAGAATAAAGCTCATATAATTATCAAAAATAAAAACAAGCCACTTCTAAAGCTAGGTTTCCAAATTTCCACACCAATTCATTTGGGAGGTTTCCCACGTGCTATATGCACACTGATTATATAATACTCTAAATATCCTGGTCACAAGACAAAATCTTAAACTACCTCATTTAATATGGAACAGACATTGAGATCCATTCTCATTTGACATTCCCTAATATTTATTCCTTTTAGGGTTGGAAGAAGCTCTGATTAATAGTTCCATTGAAATAGCCAGACTTTCTGTTTTGTCTGTTACTTAAAGGAGTTTTTGTTTCTCACCCGAGAGATATGAAAAGCCTTTCTCTATTCCAAGATCTGTCTGGAGCATTGGGCTTGCGGCCGTTGGCTTGTTTTTCTCAGTAAAAATGGGCAAAGAACTACTTACTACTGCCAGCTCTTGTTACTGTATCTTCCTATGCTTTTCAGTGTGGACTCTGTCTAGGTAAATCAGGTGTAAGGCTGTCCATACCAGCCTTACTAACGTAAAATCCATACCATCTCTCAGGTCCAGTGGAAGAAATTCTATTTCCATCTCTCCCTCTGCAACGGGTGCTTTGGATTCCTATTCAAAGTGTTAAATGATATCTCTTAAAAGCCAAAGCACTATGTTTATCTTCCATTTTCCTATTCCCCTTAACAGTCAAGTGCTGTGAAATGACAGTATACTCATGTAGTCTCTATTTCCTCCCTGCTCCATCCGTCAATCATTCCAACTGGCCTCCTCCCCTATGCTCTATAAAACCATGTTCTTCCCAACACCATACTATTGATCTGCTTAGCCACATGAACGTGACTAAACTCAACGGACGATTTGCACTCTTCATTTTATTTTGTTTTAAACCTAACTGACCACCCACTGCTCTTCTCCCGTTTACTGGGCCTTGACTACATCGCAATTTTTGTCCTTCTTTTGGGCGTATTTCTTTGTAGTCTATTTTAATTATAATATTGCTATCCCCTCCCATCACTTTAAATACCACCTATATACTGATGGCCCAGAATTCTACTTCCAGTTCAGCTTTCTTCTAGAGCTCATGCTAGAAGGTGATTCAACGTTAAAGTAGTTGATGGATTTACCTGTTTTTATATGAAATATCATGCACCTTCTACATTTGTTTGTTAACTTCTTCCCCCACCCCTCTGATATTTTTGCAAGTATTGCTATGTCAAATAGTTTTAACATGTTGCTGGAAATATAACAAACATTTCCTGGGAGGTGGGAGGTGGGAGGTGGGGGACTGTGTCGCTGGCAAACAAACTTTGAAGACAATTGTTATTTTCATAAAGTCACAGAAGATGTTAAACTTTTTCATTTCATTTTTGAAAACTGGTACAAGATTTACCTGTTTCAATTCTTCTATTTTCTTTCCTATTCTCAGAATGAAATAATGCAGGTAAGTGTAATTTAGCAATCTTATCTATACCCCCAAACTTCCATTGCTACCAAGTCGACGCTGTTTCGGGCAGCTCTTCTAGAAGAATAGCATTTCCACAGCTACTCATTTTTAAGGAAGGAAACTCTCTTTCAGCCCAACTGGGGGATTCAAACCAGCAGCCATGCCCATAAACACTGCAACACCCGGGTTCCTTTATCTATGAAGGGGCTTCACGAATTTTGTAGAAAAATGCAATTAAAATTTTCTACATACTTTCTGAAGTTCCTTTCCTGTAAATTATCTTAATACCCTGGGCTGTAAACTATTGAAAAGAAAGAAAAAAAGATCCTAAAGAGAACTCACTTAGAAGTGTTTTACATCTAAGATTTCAAATTCCCTCCAGGAAGTGCATGCAAATTCATCCGTCCTCCCCATTCCAGTTTTACCTTTGATTTTGAGTGAGTTTTGTTTACATATTTATACCTAGCAAAAATGATCACTTGTTAATTTCATATGAGCATTTGTTAATTTCACAGTCACCCTTAACATTGTCTCTTTTACTTCTTTAATATTATCAAATTATAGTTTATCTCTCATTTTTTAAAGGATTTTTCTCTGAATTTTAAAAATATGCATAAAGTTCTATTTTTTAAAAAATCATTGTATTGGGGGCTCGTACAACTCTTATCACAATCCATACATACATCCATTGTGTCAAGCACATTTGTACATTTGTTGCCATCATCATTCTCAAAACATTTTCTTTCTACTTGAGCCCTTGGTATCAGCTAGGTACCAAGCTGATTTTACCCCTCCCCTTTTAATAAAAGTGTTGATTTTGACAAGTAATATTTTATTTCATTTCAGTACATCATGGAGAAGTCTGATTCCGACAAGTTTGCTGCTTCTCTGTAAAAAAGTGTTATACTTATCCACTTTTTGAACAGTTTCAGTGATATGAATCCATTATCTTGCTTCTAAGGAACATTCTGGCTGTACTTCTTCCAAGCCAGATTTGTTCATTCTTCTGGAAATCCATGGTACTTTCAATATTCCGTACCATAATTAAACACCATAATTCAAAGGTATCAACTCTTTTCCTTCCTGATTGTGAGCTTTTACATACATATGAAGCAACTGAAATACCAAGATTTGAGTCGGAAGCATCTTAGTCTTCAAAGTGGCACCTTTGTTCTTTAACACTTCAAAAAGGCCTTTTGAAGTAAATGTACCCAATATGTTGTTTGATTTCTTGACTGCTACTTTCACGCGTGTTAATT